CAGCACGGTGCCTGAAGGTCTCCCTCAGGCTGGAGTGGAGGACAGGGAAGCCCTCCAGTCACGGTCCCTGTCCCTACTGCCTGTCTAGGGGTTCCTTCCACCGTGGGTTCTGACCCAGCTCCCTGGCACAGCCACTTACTCACTCAAGACCTGAATCTACCTTCGAGGGGGTGGGGGAGGGTCCGGCCACTGTTGGGCTGGCACTGCCTCAAGCCCAGCCAACATTGGCTTCTGCGGTGAGAGCTGGTTTATCTGGGCTGCTCCCCAGGCCCTCCTTGGAGATGGGCCTAGAGGGACAGCGTGCCAAAATAGACTGTGGCTGCCGGTGGAATGTGGCTGAATAGCTGTGGAGTGGGCCTGCCAGCAATGCCCCCACTGGTACACAGCATGGAGCCCCCAGGACCCCCAGGGACAGGCCGGGACAGGAGCATGTGTCAAGACATTGGCAGCCGTGCCCCTGGCCCTCTGTTGAGTGAGTCAAGGGAATCTTGTCTCTTGCTTGCACCTGAAAACCAAAGCCTGTGATCAAACCTCAAGGTTGGCAGAATTCCTTCAAACCCACTTCCTTGAAGGAGCGGCTCAGCAGCAGTAGGGTGTGTGTAGGTGTATGTGTGTAGGTTAAGGTGACCAGATTTTAACATTGGTAAAGCGGGACAAAAGCGGGACACCATTGATAAAACTCATATCCTGGCGAAATAGCCACATGGCAGCTGAAAACCATATATCCTAGCTTGTCGTGCATTCTTTCCAAAAATCGGGACTTTGTAAAAATGCCGTGGGACGTGGGAAAAATTGTTAAAAATTGGGACTGTACCCCCAAAAGCGGGACATCTGGTCACCTTAGTGTAGGTGTGTGTGTGGGGGGTGTTTATAGGTGTAGTAGTTACATAATCTGTTATCAATTTGAGACTATTAAAAGTGAAGAGGTGGGGTTTAGCCTGTCAATCATGTCGCAGCTTGATGACCTCATTTGGAGGCGCTGAGGAGATAAAGAGGCCCACTGGAAACAGGACACACTTTCACTCCCTGCAAGACATTCCTGTTGACAAGTCCCATGGAGCTACACTAGAGCCTTGGAACAGGAGGAATCAAGTGGAGACCCACACCAGTGCTGAGATGCTTACTATGCCACTGGGTCCACAAGACTTTCCACCCACTGGCCTGTGATCTTCCTGTATTCGGCATCATTGCATGTGTTTCGTGAGTCTGAAGAGGAATTTATAGATTGGTATCAGACATATGGGCTAATATCAGACTTATGGACTTGATCTGGACTGGGCTGGGATGTTTTCTCTATGTTCAGTTGCTCTTGTATATAAACCTCTTTCTTATACACATACGAATGTAACACAATAGGGGTGTGTGTGTGTGTGTGTGTATGAGTGTGTAGTAGGGGCTTCCAGAGCAGCGAAAGAGGGCTCTGGTAAGCCCTCTTCATTTAATACAGCCCTAGTATTATGGAAGGCACCCTTCATTCTGGTGGGATTCCCTAGGAGCGGAGTTTGAAATGGGGACTTGCATGCACTCAGCATGCTCTCCTGAGAGGAAAGCAGGGCCAGGCAGAGGAAGGAGCTAGGCACGAACGATGTCTTCTCAGCAGGAGTCTCGCATGATTCCACGGGGGAGCTGGGAGCATGAGTGGCGCCACATAGAGCCTCCCCAGGGCCACAACCTGGCCTTTACTCCTCCTCTGGCAGGCCAACTGTCAGAGCTAGGTGGAGCATGTCATTGTGAGGTTCTTTTTCAAACTGCTAGCTTACTGTTAGAGGTTTTATTGTTGCCATTCTATGGAGGGATTTTCAAGTATGAGCTTACTTTATCTAAGGGGGAGCATAATTACTATCGTGATCTGCCTCTGATCTTCCAAATGTCTGAAATTTCTGTCTCTGCTGATTTATACATGGTGTCTGGTTTCTTTCTTTCTTTTGAAAATCATTTTATTGGGGGCTCCTACAACTCATCACAGTCCATCCATCCACTGGGTCAAGCACATCTGTACACCTGTTGCCCTCATCATAGAATACATCTTTAAAAAAAAAAAAAGAATACATCTTTTTTTCAAGCACATGTGTACATTTACTGCCCTCATCATTCTCAAAACATTTGCTTTCTACTGGAGCCCTTGGTATCAGCCCCTCACGTTCCTCTCCCTCCATGTCTGGTTCCTTTGTTGGCATTTTCATGTAGGTGCTCGTTGTCCCTTTGGGTCTAAGCAGCTGCCCCATTGAGTTGGGGCAACACTGTGATCCAACACTGAGTTCAAGTTCTGCCCCCGGGGGAATGCACAAACTCGTAATTTTGATCCCATCGATTGGCTCACCTATCTCCCATCTCAACTTCCCTTTGGCTTGCTTTCACGTACTTCAAGAGTTGGAAAGCTACAGCGAAGCATCTCCGGCCTCTTTGTATCTCAGATTCCTCGTGTCACTTTAAAACCAGTGGCCATAGGGTTCATCTCCACTCAAGGGTGCCGGAGTCTTCAGTGGCTGGACGCAAGCCTCCAACCTTCCCATTAGCAGCCAACCTCATTTCACCGTGTGCACCACCAAGACGCCTCAGGTAACTGAACTTCTATCAAACAGATGCACTGGTCTGAGACTTGGAGGGCACAAAGAGGTGGAAGTCCTATGCAGGGAGATCAGATTTTCCGGCAGTCCTAGCGAGTTATAGTTCCTCTGGGGCAGCATGGAAACTTCTAATAGCTAGTGTCTAGCACACTAGCTGCCAAGTAGCAAGCGATACTGAGCGCTGTGCCTCCTGCAGAATGGTTCCATTGCATGGTTGACTATTTCTCCCAACTTGTTGCCACCGGCTCTGTTGTTTCTGGCTATGTAGCAGCCCCAGCTTGGTCTCCAGTCCTCCTGCAGGGTGGATACATGTCAGAGTACCCTTAATCAACCCAGTTCCCTTTAAGCTAGCTAGAGTGACCTCCTACTGGCTACCACTAAGAATGCTTTTTCGTCCAGTAAAACCAAAATGAAATCATCTGGGGGCCATAGACTAAAGCCAGGAACATCGTGATGGGAATTCTACCAAAAAAGCAAGCGAAGCTAAACTGCTGTCGTGAGGTGCCGTCCAGTCGGGTCCAATTCGTAGCAACCTTATGGACAGCAGAACCAGACACCTGCCGGGTTCGGGGTCAGCTTCACAACTGGTATGTTCCAGCCCACTGTCACAGCCACCGTGTCAATCCATGTCAAGGGTCTTCCTTCTTTTCGCTGCCCCTCTATTTTCCCAAGCACAATGTCCTTTCCCAGGGATTGTTCTCTCCTGGTCAGGAGCCCTGGTAGCATAGTGGTTACATGCTGCGTTGCGACCCGCAAGATCAGCAGTTCAAAGCCACCAGCTACTCCTTAGGAGAAAGACAGGGCCTTCTACTCCCATTAACAGTCTCGGACACTCACGGGGGCAGTTCTGCCCTTCCCTGCAAGGTCGCTATGCGTTGGCATCGACTCGATAGCTGTGGGTTTGGTTCTGTCCCGATAACATGTTCAAAGTGAGAGAGAAATCTCACCGCCTTCGGCTTCAAGCAGTATTCTGGCTGGACTTCCTCTAAGACGGATCCGTTTGTTCTCCTGGCAGTCCGGGGTACTTTCCACATCCCAACATTGCTCACCAACACCGTGGTTCAAGTGTCCCGGCTCTTCTTCGCTCTTCCTAAGCTACATGAGTGTTAGCGGTCAGGATGAATGTCACCGGATGAGGACACATGGTGGGGTGAAGGGGGGGGCAAGGGCAGGTGGGGCGCTTGCTTTTGAACCTGACTGGCACGTGCCTGACATCTCCAGTGGGTATACATTTATCTAGCCGTGTGCTTCCGTGCACTTTCAACCATGTTGATAAATGTCAATCCACCCTCCCCCCCCAAAAAAATCTTATAAAGTGAGGTTATAGAAGGTGGAGGTGGAGAGACAAGTGCAGAAAAATGCTGGCACTGGTTTCTTCACAGAGAGAGATTGGCTGAGAGGAGTAAGGTGAGAGAGGCAGAGCCAACCTACAGGATGTCTTTGTGTCAGACATGGTCTCACTGTATCTGCTCCGCCCTGCCATTCTGGGTGCTTCTGAAGTACAAAGGGCTCCAAGCCTGGAGATGACATTTTGCAGGTAAGCCTTGCTAGCTAGGCCAGTGAGCTTTAGGCTGAGGACATCACGGGATGGAGGAGAAACGACTCTCCCGGCGCCTGCCAGGGTCCAGGCCCACAAGGGGTCACAGATGGCCACGGGTGATTACAGGTTCCAGCACCAGTCAGGAAATGCAGGCTTATAAAGTGCAGGTCAAGGGTGTTCCTAGCCTCTTGATGATTCCGAGTGAAATTCCCTTCGATATCTCCCACATCTTTATGTCCAGTTTCCAGCATAAAATTCCTCTCAAGATACCTGCTTTCCAAGGCGGACACCCTCGGGAACTCTGGAAGGCAGGCAGTTCTGTCCCTTGCTACCACTCGGGCATGGACGATGAAGCGCCCTTAACTGCTCCGCTGTTCTGCCTTTGGCTCCCTCCTCCTGGGGGATGTCGCTGAGCTGGAGCCACCATCTGGATGGCGTCCTTGACCGAGCGTCCTTGTTGACCTCAGCACCGTGTTTGGCATGACCACACTTCCCTGCCTGTGCTCCCACTGGATTGAACTGTCCCCTCTTGGCTGGACGCCCTAGTCAAGGGCCGGGAGCGGGCCATTTACCCTGAGCTCCTTGGAGGCTCGGCACTGAGCAGGAGCTTACGGTGGAACCTGGAGCCGCAGGTGAGGGGCAGTGATGGGCCGTTCTGCTGAGCCCAGGGTTTAAGGGGAGCCCTCGTCTTGATGGGGCTCTTGTGCCATACCATGATCTAGAAGCTAACTCATGCGTGTGCAAGTATATGCAGAGTGGGAGACAAGGGGTGGGTGACCCAAGGCCCACCTTGGAGGGGACCTGGGAAAGAGACCACAGGCAGACTGACTGAGGTGCCAGGTAGCTTTAATGAGCCCGAGCACCTCTCCCACCCTCACCCCGCCCCCACATGATCTCCCCGGCCCCTCCCTTTCCTTCAGTTCCGGACAGGGCCAGCCTGCCCAAGGCTTAGGATTCCCAGCTGAAGAAGCCTCTGCTCTAGTCCCTCGGTTTCCTCAGCCGCTCCAGCCGCCTCCGGAGGTCGGGGGGCACTTTAGCCCCTGCTGCCAGCAGCTCTCGCAGTCTCTGTTTGGGTGTCTTGGTGAGGTGGAAGTTGCAGGGGACAGGGCCCTCTTCGAAGGTAACCCGACAGTTCCGGGACACAGAATGGTAGCCCTCAGCACTGGCAGTCACCACATAGTCTCCGGGAGTCAGCAGCCTCCAGTAATCACCGCCCCATGCTGAGAAAGAGGTATGAGATCAAGACCCAAGCAGCCTCACTCAGCCCCTGCCCCTGTGCCTCCCTGCCCCACACACCCGTGGTTACGTCATGGTTAATCCCATCCACAGCAATGACAGCGTCAGCAATCCCGAGCTCCGTGTCCTTGTCCCGCACAACACCCGTGATGCCCATGCGCACCTGTGGAGGGACAAGGGATCGAAAACATTTTCCCTTCCGCACGAGGAGGGAGCCCTGGTACTGAAGGAGCTGGACTAGTTGGGCTTGCTAGCCACAAGGTACCAAGTTCCAAACCACCAGCCGCTCGGTGGAAGAAAGATGAGGCTTCCTACTCCCATGAAGTTTTTACAGCCCGGGAAACCTGCATGCCAATCCTACACTGTCCTGTAGGGTCACAACCAGTTGAAATGGACATGATGGCAGTGAGTCTCCATGAAGCTGCCCAGGCAGTGACCCAGGCAGGCCTGGGCCCAAGGGAGCAGGCTGTTCACTTCCTGGGTCTATTTCCCTGCACACCTGCTAAAGGTGTGCCTACCGTGTTTCCAGGTGACGCTGCTTCTGGAGAAAACCCTATGACTGGAAACACGTTGCGTCTGGACCGGAAGAACTCTGACGCCCTGGTGCTCTCTGCCTACACCCATTCTGATGCACAGTGAGCCTCAGGGTGAGCAGAACTCCCTCATAGGGTGGCTGAGGGGGTTCTCTGGACAGGAGCACTCTGCCGCCCCCCTTCCCTTCTGAACAGCTGGCCCGCCAACCCTCTGGTTCTTGCTGGAGCACTTGATCAGAGCACCACCAGGTCTCCAATAGGTACCCGGTAGGAAGGGTATCTCTAGTCCTCCCCAAGTTCAATGACGCTTGCTATTGATTGGGCTTGTCTTTCGTAGAAACCTTAGGAAGGCTCCCTATGAAGTCGTCACCAGAGATACAGCGCTTGTGAGCAGCGAGGTTCTCTAGGGGCAGTTGCTGCCTAATGCAAGCCCTTAGTGGCTCTCTGGACCCCCACAGAGACTGCCGTGGGGCTCACCCACAAGGGAGGCACATCTGATGTTGTCCACCTGGCAAGCTGGGTCAACCTGTCCCATATACACCCTTGAAAGTCAAACAGATGCCAAGTATGGTCCGGGCATCTCATGAGTTGGAAACTTAGCGGGGCCTTAGAAACCCTCCCACTGAGAGCCGCAACCTACGCCATGAGCAGATAGGGCAGGAGTGACCCAGGCAGACTGGGGCCCAGCAGAGCAGGAGTGACCCAGACAGACTGAGGTCCAGGGGGGCAGGATGAACCAAGCAGGCTGGGATCCAGGGGAGTGGGAGTGACCCAGGCAGGCCTGGGCCCAAGGGAGCAGGTGTGCCCCAGGCAGACTGAGGCCCAGGGACCCAGGAGTGACCCAGGCAGGCCTGGGCCCGGTGCTCAGATCTCACCTGTTCCAGGTAGGTAAGCAGGGCATCCTTGTTGTTCTCCCACTCCTGGGGCAGCTCACTCTCATGAGGGAACTTGTCGCACGACAGCTCTATGGTGACTTCAAAACAGTTGGTGTGTAGGTAGCTGAAGTCATTCATGCCTAGGGGTACCACAGACACTGGAGCCTAGGTGGGCAGGGGGGGAGCCCCACCCTCCTGGTATCCTCTTCTGGGAGACCTTTCAGGGTGGGAGTTAACAACCGCGATGTCACCAGCAGACGGGCTTATTGGGGACAGGGGGCCGGGGGAGGGGCCTCCCTCCACCCCGACACATACTCCCAGGAACGGTGTGCCAGTCAGCGCCGTTGATGACGTTGCCGTTCAAGGAGAAGTCTTGGTTGTGGCAGGGGCGGCGGTCCGGCTTCTGCATGGCCTGGTTCGTGCCAGCGTACACAGTGCTGAGCCAGCGGAAGACAGCCTCGTCAGGTGTGGGCGTGAGCTCCCGGGCTTCCCACGGAGTCCGCGTCATGTCGTAGGGGTAGGACACCACGAGCTCACCGCCGTGGAGGTTGGCGCTCAGCACAAAGGGGATCCGCTGCATCCACTCAATCACCGCCCAGGTCTCCGGGGCCACCTGCACAGAGGCCAGTCAGAGGCTGGGCCAAGGCCCCTCCACGAGGCCCCCTCGCACAGCCCCAGAACATTCACCGTGGCATTGGGCAGAGTGTAGTACGTAGGCAGTGGCAGGTGATGGTTGGGGACCGTGTCCGGCACCAGGCCGTCGTCCTCGGCGGTCCACAACGGTGTGTTGAGGTCGGCGAAGTTGTGGTTAAGGTCGATGCCCTGGAAGGTCCAGCGGCCTTCTGCCCAGCCCACGAGCTCCGAGCCCTGCCAGGGAAGAGGCTTGTTCAAGCCGGGGCCTGAGGGGCAGGGGGCAGGGGGCTCGCCTGCCATGTGGCCTACCTTGCGGTAGGCGACTTCATGACCGTCAGGATTCATGGAAGGCAGCAGATGCAGGCGCATCTCCGTGAGCAGCCGGGTCACCCGTGGGTCCCCTCGCAGGAACTCCCGGCACAGGAACTGCATCAGCAGCAGAAGCAACTCTCGCCCCAGGACCTCGTTCCCATGCATGCCAGCCACGTAGCGCACCTCAGGCTCTCCTGAGAACACACAGAGGCTCCCTGGAACCCAGCGTACACCCAGAGCACACACACACCCCCTCCCAGGGGCCCACCTCTCCCCAGCCCAGCCATCCGTACCCAGCTCATGTTCCCCGGGGTGGTCCGACATTTCCATCACATATAGCTTCAGGCCCTGGTGGCTCTTGCCGATGTTGTAGATGCGGGTGATATTGGGGCACTGCTCATTCACCTGCTTCATCAGCTGGTGATGACATGCACCAGAGGGCATGTCACCACGGACCACCACGTGGTCACAAATGTGATCACAGAGAGCCTTTGGAAAGTCAATGGGCAGCCCACACGGATGCAGGGAGGGGAAGGGGTCAGGACAGGGGAGGCACCATAACCAAGGGAGCCAAACTTGGGGTCAACAGAGGAAGAGTGAGGCGATGAGGGTCATGAGGGCAGTCCCAGCAGGGGTTTCCTGGGCGGCGGAAGAGGCCTGGACTAGAGAGGTCTTCTCTCCTGGGTCCAGGGATTTAAACTGACCTTCCTCATGGCCTTATAATCGTGATGCTGAAAATCCAGAGGGTCCGAGGAGCCCAGAGCGGAGGCCTCAGGGTACAGGCCATTAGGATCTGGTGGAGGATGGTAACAGTCAACATCATAGTGGAGGGCGCCCTCAGTGTCCAGAACCTACCCAGACAACCCTTGTCCAGTTAACTGCCCACCTGAGACCGGGCAGGCCAGGATCTCTGCCCGGAGGCAAGCTGCGCCTCCCTCGAGCCAAGTCTGGGGCAGCAGGCGAATGTAGCGGGCCACCTGGCGCTCAGGGAGGAGGTTCAGCACTGGGGTCTCCTGGTCGGAATTGGCTGTGAAGATCTGGAGGGATAGAGAGTCTTTTGTCGGGGTTGCTGGAAGCCCTGTAGTCTGGCCTAGAACCCAGGGCAAGAATCAGGCCTGGAAGCTTACCAAGTAACCCACTGTGGTGGTCAGGCGGGAGTCTTGGCTCTGCGTGGTACACACAGCTCCCCTTCCCCCCTCCCCGCAAGCAGGCAAACACACACACACACACACACACACACACCAGTCCCTGCTCTCGGGCTATCCCATAGGCCAGTGTGGTCATGTGACACAAGCAGCCAATCCTAAAGCTGGCCATGGCTGCACACCATAGCCTAGTGGAAGAAGGGGGTCCCGGAGGACTATTGCTACAAGCGACTGTTCCGGCACTTTCTACTCCCCTAATAAACAGTTAATGTGGGGAACTAACACTGAGGGAACTAGGACTAGGACTATATTCCCTGAATTATAACAGAGGGAACTTGGAAAGCTAGTATTTCACAGTAGGAAAGCCACCACTTTGGTAAGTTAGAGATAAAGTTCAAGTACATTATCCTGCTTTAAGTATCATTCCCAGATTCTCCCCTCACAGCTATGCTGCCTTCAAGTGAGCACATGGTTGATGGTATCTCCCTACAGAAGCAGACATCCTGTTGCGATCTCTTCCCACTGTGTCGCCCAGCCCCCCTCTCAGACCTTCCCCCAAGGCAGGTACTAGCTTTCCTCATCTGTGGGCTCAGGGACCTTACTGTAGTTACCACCCATCTTGTGAGATATGTAACTGCTGAATATGCATGTCTTATTGTGGGATACAGAAGGATTTCTCCCAAGTTGTCTCCCCCAAATATATGCTAAACCCAAGACGCTGCTTGCTACACATGGTCAATGACTGTACACTAGGAGGTTAACAAAAGTAGGTCAGAGGTTATTCACCTTAAGGGTTATCAGCCATCTAGAGCAACCAGACTGTATAGTCTGAGTCACCCCAAGTAGGGCCCACTCCCTTGAAGGAGTGTCTGAAGGCAAGTCTGGGACCACTCAAAGATGACTAAGGTTAGGCTACTATATTGAGTCTAGGGTGCACCCATCTTGTCACATATGTACCCCTATTCCCTCCCTTTGCTATTGCGTGTTCACCCCTAGGCCATCCCCCTCCTATTGCTTGTATTGCCTATGTTACAACCCCTACCTGTGATATACATTGTTATCTGTAATCAGAGGGCTTGCATGCCCCCAAAGACATATAAGCTTTGTTTAGAAATAAAACCTAACGATGTTCTCTCCTCCCCGCTCCTCCCCCACCTCCACATGTACCACCAAGAGGAGTTGAGGTGAGCATGCTACTATGAAATATGTCTGACTTCTTTATTTTACTCTCTTCCTCATTTCTCCCATTTCTCCATGACTTTATTATCATCTTTAACTGTACAATTGCGCCTACTGAACCTGTGATTAGTTGTGGGGGGCTGGCTACCCCCACATCTTTATGGCTACCTATAAATATCCCAAGACAGTAAAGACTCGCTTTCTCTCTTTCTGTTCTCCCACCTCCACGTGGACCACAAAGAGGGGTTGAAGTGAGCAGGCTACTATAAAATGTGTCTGACTCCTTTATTTTATTCGCTCTCCTATCGTTCCTATTCTCTATGACTTTACTATGATCTTTATATATTATAACTGTACAATTGCACCTACAGACCCTTCCGATGTTAGAGGCTGGCTACCTCTGTCAAGTTAACAGTCCCCAAAATTCACACAGACGGTTCTAACCTGTCCTACAGAGTCACAGTCAGTCGGAATCAACTCGATAGTAGTGAATTTGGGTTTGTTTTTCTTTTCTGGGGGATGCCACTCATCCTAAAATCAGCCCTTTCTACTGAGATGCCCAAGCAGGCTCCTTATACCCAGAGAAGCCCCAGCCTGGGTCAGTCCAACTCAGGGAACAGCACGTCCAAGACATCAAGGGCCCACTCACTGCGTCCACCCCACTGCTGAGGTTCCTGCTCCCCCACCAGCTCCGACTGTCATTGCTGAACTGGACCTTGTAGGACATGACCCAGTCGTACCTGGCAGAGAGGTGGGGAGAAATCATCAGTACCCACCAGGACTTCCACCCAGCCCACCTGCCTACTAGGACTTCCTGGCCTGGGGCCAGTCTGCCTCACCTCCAAATGGAGTTCCTGCCCTGCGTGATAACCCCGGAGAAGCGAGTGACTCGGCCAGCATCCACCTGCAGCCACGGCTCAGCGTCCTGCTGCTCAGCACACCAGGCCCCATCATACAGGTCACCGTCCTCCAGGCCGGACTGAAGGCATGGGACAGGGGAACCAGGTTCACTGGGGGTGTGGGCAGGGCAGGGAGGGGGGAGGGAAGCAGTCCCCAGGGGTAATCTTGCCCACCCAAGACAAGGGCTCTGAGCCAGACCTGGAGGTTGAGCCGTCCACGGTGTGGTCCCAGACCAAAGGACTGGCTGCTGGATGCTTCAAATTGGCTATCTGAAACTCGCAGGGACTCCAGGCCCAAAGGGGGGCAGTCTGGGGCAGACAGAAGGCAGTTAAGGCAGGCAGGCAGCTAAGCCTAAGCTTGCTCTAGTGCTGGGCAGGCTTCGGGCACTCCTATGCCAGTGAGACCAAGCGCTACCTCATGGTGGGCAAGTCTAGGCTGGTACCTGGTTTTTGCTCCTTGGGAACTTTATGGTTCCTAGCAGCATCGGCAGTCTCTGTGGGGCCGGGCCGAACTATCTTCTTTCGCTTCCTTGTGATGATCTTTTTCTTCTTCACGACCCGAAGCCGGACCTGCTGTCCTGTGGTCCCTGGGGACCAGGGAGGGAGGAAATGGCATGAGACCTCAGATAGAGAGTCCTGCTAGCCCAGGAAGGCACCAGAGCCACAGGGATCTAAGGGTCTCAGCATGGCATTCAAGGCCTGCAGTTGCTCCCCACCAGCCTCTCCATGTTCCTTGGACCCTCCTCCTCCTGGCTGACATGAATGGGTGTGTGAGACTAGTCTCACCTCTGACCCTCTGTAATGGACAGCCACACCCAGCCACACAGGACTGCTGGGCTGCTTCAATGAGCTTGGTTCTTTACCAAACAAGGTCTGTGCACAGTAGGACTCTCTCCTGTAACATCACCCGCCTCTCATTCTGTTGTCTAATTCTACTCTTCCTCCCTTCACACCTCAGCCCAGATGACCTCTGGCTCCAGACTGGGTCTCCTGCCTCACAGGCCCTGTGTCCCATCATTGTGTCCGGCCCCTGAGCTGGGGTGCTAGTCTCACATCTACGTCTGCCTGGAGGCTTCAGCCTTTCCAGAGCTGGGGCTGCATCCTGCTCACCCTTCAGCACAGGGCTAGGCAGGTGTCACCTGCCCCCTACCCACCCAAGCTCCACAGCTGTCTCTGGAACATGCTGTGAATTTTCTGGCCTGTGCCCCTGGGCCTTTGCACGAGCTGGTTCCTCCTCCTGGCCGCCCTCTCACTCCAGTCTTCCTGACCAAGAGTCTCAGCACTCAGTTCCGCATGCCTCTTCCAAGCAGCTCTCTGGATGCCACCCCATTCCTCTCCACGGCTAAATTCCCACCTTTGAAAAGCTGACAACTAGGACGGCCCACTTCTCGCTGTTCTGGGTAAATAGTGCCCCATCCCTCCAGGCATGCTCCGTCTTTTCCTTGTTCCTTCCAGGAGAGAGCTCCGGCTTTCAAGCTGGAACCAGCAGAGGACCCAGCGGAATTCTTCCTCTAACTCATCTTGGCACCTTGGTCTGCACCGCCCCACCTCCTCCCCGTCCTGCCCACCCACCCCTATCCGAACCTCCATTCCTCATCTGTGAAAAGGGAAGAGTAAGCAAGGCTTTGGACTGGAAGGAGTCCCGCTAGGTGGCACAAACGGTTAATACCCTCAGCTACTAACGGAAAGGTTAGCTGGTCGAGTCCAGGAGACACCTCTGAAAAAAGACCAGGCTATCCAATTCAGGAAAAGTAGTCACTGAAAAACTGGTGGCACGGTCAGGGTAAATGCTGGATTTCGAAACTCCGGGTCTGTTGGTTCAAAGCCATCCGCCACTCTTCGGGAGAAAGCGGAGGCTGTCTGTTCCAGCCAAGATTTACCACTTCAGAGGCTTGAGAGCAGTGGGTAGAAAGCATTGGAAGAAATCCTGTGGAGCCCAGTGCTACTCTGATGCCCATGGGCTCGCCAGGAGTGGGAATCGCCTGGACTGCAGGCAGCTAGTACTCCTAGTACTGTAGGCTGGAAGAGGCCCCATCTCTCCAGAGCCCATCCCGGACTGCTGACTCCGAGGGAATCTGCCTGCTGAGTCAGCAGCCATTGCGCGCGGGCGCACCGGTGAGTGTGGTCCCCGGAGATGGGGCGGGGGCAGGAGTGGGGGGTGAGCCACACTGGTCAGGTCTCTGGTCCGGGAACTCACCGTTGTCTTTCCCCACGGGTGGCTGTACGGGGCTGCTTTGTGGGGCTGGGGTCGAGAGCCAGGCTTCGGTGGTCGTGGGCAGTGAAAAGTTCAGGACCGAGTCGCCGAGCGCCCCTAGACCCGTCCCGGCAGCGGGGGCGCACGCAGCCAGGGCGAACAGGAGAGCCCACATGGCGCGGGTGGAGAGGTGCTCAGCGTGGCGGAGTCGGCCGGCGGGCTCCTCTCTTCCTGCGGGCAGCTCGGCGCCCCCCGCCCCTTCCTGCCCCAGCGCCCCACGCCCCGCAGCCTCGGCCCGCCCCCAGTCCGCGCGGGTGCGGGGGAGAGGAGCGCAGGGGCGGGGCGCCGCCCAGGGTCCCCGCACCCACCGACCCTCTCCCTCCCTGCGATTCCGGATGTCCCGAGCGCACCCAGCAGTCGACGGAGCCCCCGGCAGACTCGATTTCCCTTACTCTTCTGCGGTCCCATGGTGGGCGCCTATTGGGTGCTCCCAGGCATGGTGCCCGGCGCTTAGCCCCCTGGTCTCTCCGTAAACTTGGTTCAAACTAGTCAACGGACCCGGGCCAGGTGGCAGAAGGGACAACTTTATGTAGGAAACGAGGAGCCTAGAGGGAAGTCCACCCCCGCGAGGGTGAGACCGAGTGATAACTGAGGGAGGGTGTGGGGAAACTGAGGCGGGGGAGGGAGCGCGGGGATGGGCGGGGCTGGAGTTGACCCTCCAGGCAACCTTCTGAAGGACCACCCCAGCTCCAGGCGGCCCTTCCCACTCCCACCCGGCTCCTCCCCTCTGCCCCCTCTCCTTCCCCCCATCTCCCCTCCCCTCCTCTCCCGCGCCCGCCCCCGCCGCCGAGCTGCCACGTTCCGGCCTTACATAAGCGTGGAGACAAGTCTGGCTGGCTGGGGCCGGAGTGGGGCTGAGACTGGACGGCGCCCGCCCTCTGCCTCCCCGACCCCATCCTCGCCCCCAGTCTGCCTCAGCCCCCATCCCCACCCCCCACCCCCGCCTCCAAAGCCCGGGACTCTACTGGAAACCCCCTTTGGGTCTCCCTGCAACCCCACTCCCGTGCTGGGTAGCCCCTCTAGAAGGAAGAATGCGCATCCCTGTGCGCCTCCAGTAGGCGCTTGACCCTCGCTAGGAGCCCCCTGGGACATGCTGCCATCTGCACTTGCCATCTCCGAAGTGGACGGAAATGGGCAGGAATCCTGGGAAAACATCCACCCCACCCCCGCCTCCGCAGGGCCTCTATCTAATTATTTGAAGCTTCCCAAATCAGGTGGTGGCGCAATCTTACGGGGTCCAGAGGAAGTCATTGCACCCTGTGCTCCTAGAATGGTGGTCCACCCGCAGGGACCACCCTCAAAGAGGCAGGGACCACGTGGAGGGAGCTCCTCCAGGGATCAGGGTCCACCTGTCCCTCAGGCACTCTGAGCGAGGAAAGGCTCAAAGAGTTCCTGAAAGGTTACGGTGGACTTGGAGGGGCCCAGGAGAGCCCTGGGCCTTTCTTGGGGAGCCAGTATGGCACTCCAGGTTCCTGGCACTGGAATGAAACTTAAGACAATTTCAAGGAACCAAAACGAGATTCTGAGAACTCATAGCGACCCTATAAGAGGGACCCTATAGATCTACTCCATAAGGGTTTCCAAGCTGTAAGTCTTTACAGGGGCAGACAGCTCTACCTTTTTCTCCAAGAGTGGACTTCGGTTCGTAGCCAATCGCTTAACTCTCCGCACCACCACGATGTATCGCTTCCCACGTAAAAGCTCTCAAGTGAGGGGCTTCCTGAAGTGTGAGGCCAGGCTGACCTGCAGTACTGCACCCTGGGCCTTTCAGAGCCAGAGTCCAAGACAAGCTCCAGCGGAGCCAGAATCCAGTCTGAAGCCATGCAGACGGAGGGCCCCACTTCTGGTTAAGCAGTTGCCTACTTCCCTGTCTCATGTCCCACCCGCATCCAAGTTTGGTGGAGGGGTGCAAAGGGGTGGATGTGAAGTCACAAGATGCCAGGACCTTTCAATCACCCTCAGTTTCCATCCTCTCCGAGCCCTGCCCTTCTCCACCAAACAAAATTGTGCCAAGTCCCAGTGGGTTCTCCTTAAGGCTCTTTATGGTCAGGCCCTCTCCAGCCCACCCCTTCCCCACCTCATCTCCCCCCTCCATCCCTCTGGCTCTTGTCAGGAGGTGACACACATTCTGGCTGCTCCTTCCTCCCCAACCCCAGCCCCATCCGACCTCGGTGCCTTTGCACTTGATGTGAACTCTGCTGAAAAGGAACTCCATCGCTTGCACACCCTCTAGCAGCCCATGCTGTTTTATTATCGCCTTCAATAATTATTGTCTTCTTTGTTAGGTGTTCACTGTGAAACTCTACCCCTAGTACCCTTCCTTTTTTTTTTGCCTAAGAAAACATAATTTTGCTCCATGGTTCAGAGAACTCACTCACGCACAGACACAGACACGCACAGCTAACGCTGACGAAGGTATGGGCTCCTTTTGAGATAGTCTCAGAAAAGTTTTTGGAGGCACTGTCCTTGTGGAGATAGTCAGCCCCCCACAACTAATCACGGGTTCGGTAGGCCCAATTGTATGGTTAAGATATATAAAGATTATAGTAAAGTCATGGAGAATAGGGAGAGATGGGAGAGAGAGAGAGAGTTAAAATAAAGAAGTCAGACACATTTCATAGTAGCATGCTCACCTCAGCTCCTCTTGGAGGTACACATGGAGGTGGGGGACAAGAGTGCTGGAGAGAACTCTTGTGAGGTTTTATTTCTAACCAATGCTTAAATATCTTTGGGGGCATGCAAGCCCTCTGATTACAGATAACAATCTACGTCATAGGAAGGGGTCGTAACGTAGGCAATACAAGCAATAGGAGGGGGATGGCCTAGAGATGTACACCCAATAATAAAGGGAGGGAATAGGGGTACATATTTGGCAAGATGGGTGGACCCTACACTCAATATAGTAGCCTAACCTTAGTCATCCTTGAGTGGTCCTGGGCTTGCCTTCAGGCACTCCTTCAAGGGAACAATATCAGAAGGGAGTGGGCCCTACTTAGGGTGAGTCAGATTATACAGCCTGGTGGCTCTGATACCCTTAAGGGGAATAACCTCTGACCTACTTTCGTTGACCTCCTAGTGTACAGTCATTGACCATGTGTAGCAAGCAGCATCTTGGGTTTGACAGATCTTTGGGGGAGACAACTCTGGAGAAATCTTTCTGTTTCCCACATGTCCTCACACCTCCAGGCCAGGGCCCTTGCTGAGTTCCAGTGGCTGCACCAGGTCACCTCCTGGTCCGCCTCCTGGTCTGTTCTTCAATGTCCATCTCACTGATGTGAGCTTACCGCTGGACTGCTTGCATGCCAGAGCTACTAAGGCACATGGCTGCTCCTGGTCACCGACTGCGCCAGTATGTCCATGATCTCATCGAAAGTGTCGCTGGGTGAACCAGAAAGGCTCACCACACCCCCTGTCGAAGGGATCAGGTCAGCACCCCATCCAGGGAAGCCTTATGCACCCAGGTGTTCAGAATTGCCCCACTGGAGTTAGAACAGTACCTGGACCCCAGCCAGTGCTCACAACGTATGATATGTTCAAGGTGAGAGGGGCAGAGGAAAGCTGCCCCTCTCTCAGTAATGCTGAGTTGTTTTTTAAATCATTTTATTGAGGGCTCACACGGTTCTTGTCACAATCCATCCATCCATCCATTGAGAAGTGCTGAGTTTTGCGGAAGAGGAAATGACAGATCTCCTGGTCCCCTATGTACCCCTCACCTCCCTTTGTGCTCTTTTGGACCTCATCTCCCAACACCCCCTGGCACCTCTTTGTACCCCTTTGTCTCCTGTTCCCCTCCTACCTTCTACTGCATGCTCCTTTGTAACTAGCTCATTCCTTTGCACGTCACAGTTCCCTGCTGCCCTCACTACCATCTCTGGCCCTTGCCACTTTTGGCTACAAAGACATGGAATCTGGAAGCAGATTCTGAAGGTGGCAGATCCAGGGCGGAGACAGCAGGTTTGTGCCCCAGTCTCTAGCTAGCTCCAGGAGGCAGGTGGAAGACGGGTCAGGTCTTCATGGAAGCAAGGGGGAACTGAGGAGGTGGGATCTTAGTTAAGGGATTGAGGTAGTTAGTTTATTGTGCCTCGGGGAGGTGCCAGTCAGGGCACCGTGTAGCAATGATGAAACATACAACTTTCCTCTAGTTCCTAAATGCTTCCTCCCCACCCCACCCCCCACTATCATCATCCCAATTCTACCTTACAAATCTGGCTAGACCAGAGGATGTACACTGGTAGAGATAGGAACTGGAAACACAGGGAATCCAGGACAGATGATCCCTTCCAGTCTTGAGAGTGGCGATACCAGGAGGGTGAAGGGAGGGTGGGTGGAAAGGGGGAACTGATGACAAGGATCTACATATAACCTCCTCCCTGGGGGATGGACAACAGAAAAGTGGATCAAGGGAGACATCAGACAGTGTAAGATAGGATAAAATAATAATTTATAAATTATCAAGGGTTTATGAGGGAGGAGAAAGGGGGGAGGAAGGGGAAAATGAGGAGCTGATACCAAGGGCTCAAGCAGAAAGCAAATGTTTTGAGAATGATGATGGCAACAAACGTACAAATGTGCTTGACACAATGGATGGATGTATGGAGTGTGATGAGTTGTACAAGCCCCCAATAAAATGATTTTTAAAAAAGCAAGTAGTGTATCATGACCCCAGTTCTACCTCACAAATACAGCTAGACCAGATCATGTACAAGGGTACAGATAAGAGCTGGAAACCCAGGGAACCCAGGACAGATAAACCCCTCAGGACCAATAATGAGAGTAACAATACCAGAAGGGGAAGGGGAAGGTGGGCGGGGGGGAAAGGGGAAAACTGATCACAATGATCTCATGTAATTGCCTCTCAGGGCTACAGACAACAGAAAAGTGGGTGAAGGGAGATGTCGGTCAGTGTAAGACATGAAAAAAATAATAATTTATAAATTATCAAGGTCTTATGAGGGAGGGAAGGTTGGGGAGGGAGGGGAAAATGAGCTAATACCAAGGGCTCAAGTAAAAAGAAAATGTTTTGAAAATGATGATGGCAACATATGTACAAATGTGCTTGACACAATGGATGGATGGATGGGTTATAATAAGAGCTATACGAGCCCCCAATACAAT